TGTCAGGCTCCCAGCTCATTGGAGACTGGGCTTCTCCTTCTCCCTCTGCCTCTCCCCCTGCTTGTGCTCTCTCTGTCTCTCTCTCTCTCAAATGAATAAATAAAATCTTAAAAAACAATGGGAAACAGGGCCACTGCAGAATTGGGGAGAAATTTACATCAATAACTTTGAAAACAGAGATGTACTGGACAATTTTGTAGAAAATATCACTTACCAATACTGACGCATGCTGACACAGAAGACCTGAATAGATCTATTACCATTTATTAAATCAAGTTAGAAATTAAAATTTTAAGCCCTCCCTCCTCCTCCCCTCCAACAAAATTAAATATCAGATCCACTGGCATCTTACAGGCAAACTTTATCAAACCTTCTAAGAAAGAGATAATGCCCACACCAAAGTATTACAGAAAACAGAGAGATGCTCCCCAAACCACTTTATCAGCCCCGTGTAAATGAGAAACTAAAACTAGATGTAGATAGGGGGAATCAGCCGGCCAGTTTTACTTACGAACACAGATTCAAAAGTCCTAAATAAAGTTAATAAACAGAACTTGGCAAAAACGGTATTAAATCATACAGTTTACCCTTGGAATATAAACATCGGTTTAACATTAAAAAAATCATCAATCTCATTCATTAATAGATTAACGGAGGGAAGAAATATCACTTCAAGAGAAATAGAAATGCACCTGATATAACTGAATACTCCTTCCACTGAAAATGCTTCATACACTAAGGACTGAATTTTCTTACCCTATAAAGCACACCTTAAAAAATGATACATCAAACATTGAATTCAACACACTTAATAATCCTAACTAAAACACGGAAGCATCCTTTTAAAATGAGGAACAAGACAAAGATGCTGTCATCCTCCTGCTAGCCAATTAAATAAAAGAGCAATACTTACCCAAGGAGTGTGAGTATTGAGATCAAAGAAGGAAATCTCTCATGGTTTCTACCATCATGTTCATTGTGCAATCTGTTTTTATTCAAAACTGCTCCCCATGTGCAGGCAGATTCTCTGGGAACCTCTGATCTTTCCTCTCTGTCCTGGGCTGTGATCTGGGCAGGGCACCAACCCATCAGTCCTCCAAGCCAAGCACCTGCTGCAAGCTGCTTTCTCTCTCTCTTTTTAAAAAGATTTTATTTATTTGAGAGCGAGAGAATGAGTCGGGGAAGGGGCAGAGGGAGAGGGAGAATCAGGTTCCATGCTCAGCGGGGCTCGACCCCAGGACCCCGGGATCATGACCTGGGCCGAAGGCAGACGCGTCACCAGCTGAGCCGCCCAGGCGCCCCTCTCTCTCTCTCTCTTTTTTTAAAGATTTTATTTATTTATTTGACAGAGAGAGACACAGCGAGAGAGGGAACACAAGCAGGGGGAGTGGGAGAGGGAGAAGCGGACTCCCCGCCGAGCAGGGAGCCAGATGCGAGGCTCGACCCCAGGACCCTGGGATCACGATCTGAGCCGAAGGCAGACGCTCAACGACTGAGCCACCCAGGCGCCCGCTCCTCTTTTTCTCTTATCACTGCCCTTGGAAGACTACCTGAATCATCAGCATCTTACCCCTCCGCAGGAGGGCCAAGGGCCTGGAATTTAATGCGAACAGCACAAGCCAGGTGCCGAGGGCCTTCTCCGTTCCTGTCCTGGAAATGCGCGTGTCACAGGCCAGCTCCTGGTTGCAGCAGCCGCAACCTCGCCCCCTCTCCGTTCCTCCATCACCCCAGCCCAGGGCTGGTCTTCTATCAACAGGGGTGACTGAGGGGAGCTCAGTGGAGGGACTATTTACAAAGATGCGTGCGGGGCTCAGCAAACCCCGCGGGGCGGCGAAGCATCACTGCGCTGCAGGGGCGAGGCGGGGAGCCCCAGCTCCGATGCAAGCTCGGAGACCGCTCGGGGGCGCCCCCCCACCAGCTCTTGAGTTCATGTCCTCCTCCGCTGCACCTCTTCCTAACCCGCTGCTGCTCACTTCTGGCCCGTGGACGGATGCCCGTGCGCCCAGGGGTCAGCACGGCCCCATCCTAGTGTCGAGTTTCACACCTGCCCAGGGCCTGACTGGCTGGCACCTGTGTGTTTCTGACTCCCAAGTCTGTGGCTTCGGTCCTCTGAGAGCCCTTTCCCTGCGTGACTTCTCCATTCGGATGCCCGACAGACGTCTCGGACGGAACACGAGCAAGACGAGAGCCCGATCCTGCCACCGCGGCCTCCAAAGCCTCTCCCCAACCACGCGTAGCTGCCCGCGCCTGGACCCCAAACCCAGGGGCCGCCAGCCTGCAGCAAGTCGTGTTCACCGCCTGGAACCCGCTCCTTCTACCACCACAGTCTACACTATCATCACTCGGCGGATTCACCACAAACGTCTCCTCTCCAGGACTCCCTGCTTCCTCACTTCTCTGCACAAAGATGTTTCAAAAAGCAACCGTAGTGTTTTTGGTCCATTGTGCTTATTTTCTAACATACGCTATGTTTTGTATTTGCCATGCTTATTTTTATTATTTGCTTATTTATTTTTTAAGATTTGTTAATTTATTTGAGAGAGAGCATGAACGGGGGAGGGGCAGAGGGAGAGAGAGACGCAGCACCCCCCTCCCCCACTGAGGGTGGAGCCCAAGGCACTGATGGATCCCACGATCCTGAGATCACGACCTGAGCCGAAATCAAGAGTTCGATGCTCAACCCCCAGAGGCTCCCAGGCGCCCGTCATGCGTAACTTTGCGTCTGTTGTAGAATGAGCTCCTTGAAGACTGGAAGCATCCCAATGAAGAACAGTACCTGGTCAATACGAGGTGCAGCATACTGGTGTGTGAGTTGAACCACTACTCCTCTGCCCTGTAAGGCTTGAGCAGCTTCCCAACGCCCTCGGGGGAAACCCGGGACCCTGCAGCGCGGTCCACAAGGCCGCCGACCCCTCGGCTGCTCTCCCGCCCCTTCCCCCACCGCACTGCACTCGGGAGAAACCCCGGACCCTGCCGCGTGGTCCACGAGGCCCACAGGGTTCGCCTGTGCCCACCCCTGCCCTGCTCTCCCGCCCCTCTGCCCACTGCACTGCAGACACGAGGGCGTTCCGGCCCAGCCTGTCCCTGCCCGTGACCCTGGCCGGTGCGATCCCAGACTGTCCTCCTCGGAGCAGCCCTGGCTGACCTGGAAAGCGGACAGCGGCGCACCGCCCGTCACCGTCCTATGCCAGTTCCCTGCCTGTCGCCCTGCACTGGAATATAACCTGCACGCGTGCCTCACCGCTGCCCTAGCCGGGAAACATCCTGGCCTAGCCCGGCCTCTCAGTAACCCAGGCAGGAGCTCTGCGAAGGCTGGAGACCACGAAGGAGACAGCAACCATCAAGAAATAACTCGGTAACGTTCCCAGAACCCAGGGGCCATAAACCTGCCGATACTCAGCATTTCAGAATAGCAACCTACAGGCGCCCTCAGGAAGCTACTGGGCCAGGACGAGGAAGTCAGCTAAGAAGAGGGTCAGGGACACAGGAAACACAGGGTCAGGAAGCAGCAAAGCCAAGCCACGACCCCCGAAGAGCTGTGCATAGGCCGCAGGCTGCGGGACAACACGACAGAGCCCCTGACGACCCGCCATCCCGACGGGTGCTGACAACGGGTAAGGACGCCGGGCTTTGATTACTAAGACAGACGCAGGCAATGAAGCCAAAGGGCAGAAGAAGGCAATTCCCCAGTCCAGGAAGCGCGGGCTGTCCCCACAGACAGCTTCTGCAGACACAGCCGTGGGCGCCGAGCTCCCGCTCGGCCGCCGGGACCGACGGGTGGGGCGCGTGCGCTCGGGGCCGGGGCCGGGCCCAGAGCCTCGGCTGCTGGGGGCTCGGACGACAGGGTCCCACAGGGTCCCACACCAGCGCTGTCGAGGAAACGGTCCGCCAAGAAGCGCCCTGGGAGAGGGAGGGGGCTGCTTTTTTCTCCCTCCGTGATAAACACTACGTAGATCTGACCATACGTGTAGGTGACGTTCACATAAAAAAATACTTAAAAATATGATTATAAAAAATAAAAAGGTTCAAAAGAATTAGCCAAATAAGTACCACACGGCAACTTTCTGTCCTCAGGTGGTGGCATAACATGCACGTGTTTATGATTTTCAAAGGCTGTTTCATGCAGAAACTTCATCGTCTACAGTTCACTCTGGAAGTTTCACACTCAGGAACCTGATTAAACCATTACCCGAAAGCATTTATATTTTGTTCAAATGCAAATGTTCCCTATTTAATAACTAGGAAATTTTAATTATACAATGATCACCTTAAAAAGTTTCAGAAATCTCGTTATATAAAAATTCTTTCCAAGAAAGGATAAAAGGCATTTTGAGAATTCTAAAATTTTTCCCATAAATAAAAGATTAGGAGATATAATTTTAGGGAACAATTCACATCGATCAACAAAATAAATGTACATTTTCAAGAATATGTTACTGATTATTGTCTCTCAAGATTCAACTGTAGATTAACTGACCTCATTATATTAATGTCTTGTTTCTAATAATTGACACACTTTGCATATCCGTATTTAGAAAGAAAAGTAAAAAGAACAAATGAAAAATAAAAAGGGGGAAGAGTCATAAATGAGATCTTGAAAGGGCTTTATGTAATTCTTCCTTTTCTATCTTTAACATGGCAATTAAAAAACCAGCCGAAAGAAGAGACCGGAAATGGTTAGGTGGCTGAGTGTGTCCAAGGGCAGGACGGAGGCTCGGCTGGTTGCGTTTCCTTCTGGGCAGGCACCGCGCATTTTCCAAGGGAAGATTCTGGGTGTGCCACGGAATGTCGCCGTGTCACAGGCCGTCATGGGCTGCATGGATGCTCGGTGTCGACATGGGGCCAGCACAGCGGGAGAGGGAGATGTGGGGGCTCCTGTCTGGGGGCAGACAGCAGGCACGGGGGCAGCGGGGTGTCCCAGGAGAGACCCCAGGCCACTGCTGTCCACGCAACCGCTACGGAGCCACATGAAGGTTATAATAGAATATATGAACCCAGGCTGTTCGTTCCACAAGTCTTTATTGACCACCTGCTGTGTGCCCAGCACTGCAGGAGGTGCTGTGGAGGGTAAAAAGTAGAGGCAGAAGTCAGAGGGACATTTACAGATGATGTGGGGGCCGAGGTGCTGGGGTGCAGGACGCTGGTGCTGGGCCTGGGACAGGTGCGGACAAAGGCTGTGGGTGTCCCGCTGGAGGAGGGGGCGTGTGGGTGCAATGAGGCCACCCTCTAGCCCTCTCCCAACAGGAAGACCAGCACGAAGACCAGGTGAGCTCCAGGAGCCCCGCTGGCATCCTCTCCTCTCCCACCGCCCTTGTCCGAGGACAACGGAGCCCAAGCTTCCACCCTGCTGGAGGCACTGGGCAGGGCTTCTGAGGGGGAGGTTCTCCTGGACTGGATGTCTGCCCTGGTGATTTTAGATGACCGATCAAGAGCAGGATATTCTGACTTCCCTCTACAATTTCCCCTCCCAAGGCCCCACCCTCAGGTCACTTATTCATCATTGACCACATGTGTGGCCGCAAAGCCACGGGTCTCCAGATCCCTCCCCCAAGAGGCTCCGAGGGTCCTGGCTTCTTCGATGTGGAAACGTCAGACGTTGGCCCCTGGTCTCAGAAGCGAGGCGCCCACTCGGGGGCCTGGCGACTCCACGGCGCTCCAGGAGGCTTATTCAAATGGCCCGGAAACCGTGGTGGGTTTTCGCTCTGCTCACGTTCACGCGTGTCACTCTGAGTTGGGGTGGCAGGGAAGGCCGGCAGCAGAGCGGATGTCAGCGAGGGGGATGCGGGGGGAGGGAGGGCGGCGAGGGGTCTCAGGGGCAGGCCAGCATGGGACGCCAGACTGGGCGACAAAACGCTGTCTCATCTCCTTTCAACAAAGAGTGTGCAGCGCTGGGCCAAAGGCCGTGGGCAGCAGAGGGGCCCTCGTGGACTCCGGGGTCAGAAATCTGCTTGGGAAGCCCCGGGGCTGGGGGAGGAGCTGTGTGACGGAGCGCGGCACCGAGCAAGACTCAAGGGGTCGCAGCCACGGGGGCGGGGGGGGGGGGTGTGGGATGGTGGTGCACCTGCTCCAGGTGCTGTGGCCAGACACCCCTCCCTGTCACGGTCCTGGAATCCCCGAGGAGGGAGGCAGCGAGCGGTGGGCTCAGGGCCGCAGCAGGAGGCGTGTCCCAGGCCACTTGAGCCACAGGAAGGGCACCAGGCGCCGCGTGAAAGTGGCGGTGAAGGTGTAGATGAGTTCCTGTGACTCCGCGTTGGTGAACGTCACGGTGCCTCCGTCATAGTCTAGGGCGATGCCCACCCTCCGGGGCCGCAGCGCCGGGAAGAGCTCGGCCTCGGGCTCCGTGTTGGCCCAGACGCCCGCCGAGGAGAGGCGCAGCGCCCACACCCCGTCCTCCGGCCGCAGGGACAGGTCCCCCTTCCTCTGCACAGAGTCTCTGGCCACCCCCACCATGCAGCTTTCCAGAAGCCCCTCCCCCTCCCCCGCCCCCTCCTCCTCCTCCCCCTCCAGGGACTCCTCGTCCTCGTCGGTCTCCCAGCCCGCGTCCCCGTCCCCGTCGCCCTCCCCGTCCTCCTCCTCCTCCTCCTCCTCCTCCCCCTCCTCCTCCTCCCCCTCCCCCTCCTCCTCGGACCAGCCCTCCCGGTCCACCTCCACCTCCCAGTACACCTTGCCCCAGGTGAAGCCCTTACTGCCCAGCACGCCCGGCTCGCAGTCAAACTGCTGCGGGTGCAGGTAAGTGCCCTGGTAGAGGCCGCTGTAGGTCACACACTTCCAGTCCTGCGACAGCTGCAGGTACCCACTGGCCGACTGCGGGTCCAGCGTGACACTGACTGTGGGGACGACAGAACGAGCAACGGCGTCACGGGGGGGCCCCGCGGGGCTGCCACGCCCCACGATTGAAGGGCTGCTGGTCACGGGGCCCCTCAGGGCCATGCAGTGCACGACCAGACAGCAGGGCAAGGGGGGGCAGAGTGCCGGGGCCGGCCGCACAGACGGCCTCCGAATGCGGGGGCCACGCGGCCGGGCAGAGGGGAACATGGTGCAGAGAGGGTCAGGTGGTCGAGCGGAGGCTCTGCTGCAGACCAGAGACCCGCAGAGGGAGCTGCAGACTCGCAGCTGGGAAATCTCCGCCGTGTTAGAGAACGGGCTCCCCAGGGGCAGCAGGGGAGCCTCTGTGGGGACAGTCTTCCTCACGGGAGGTGAACTGGGAACAGCCCTTTGGACACTCACCTGTCTTATATTCCAAGTCTCTCAGCAGCTTCCCTGGGGGCGAGAAAAGTACAAGAATGACCCTCGAGCCCAGCAAACTTACAGGCCCGTTTTCCACTTGGACAGGACTAACTTCCTGACGGGCCTCCCTCCCTGAGCTCTCAAGAAGGAAACAGAAAACAACCAGGAGACCCAGGAGTAAGGCCAAAGACGGCAGTAAGCAGCTCATACCCTCCTTCAGTGCCGAGCCCCAGCTCCGACTCCCACCCCACTGCAGCCCCAGCCCTCACCTTGGAACTCTCTCAGGCCTCGCTGCAGGGACGTAAGTTTATCTGAGAATTCTCCCGTCTTTTTCTTAACCACCCGAGCAATGGGTTTTCCAATCCAGAACTTCTTCCGGGGATACCTGGGAAGATGACAGATGGACCTGTTACTTAGCTCTTCCTGCATCTCTCTCAATTCTCACGACAGTTATGAAGCAGGAGAGAAAGATATGACAATTCCCCATCAACACACAGAAACCAGGGCTCAAAAACGCTGAGTGAGCGGCCCACGGTTGGGCCAGGACTCAGAGCATGCAGAACACTCCTGTCTGCTGAGCCCGTCTCC